AGTGAACAAATGAATGAATGAATGACTAAATGAACAAACGAATGGATAAACAAATGAGTGAATAAGTAAACAAATGAATGGATGAATGAACAAATGAGCAAGTGAACAAATGAATGAGCGAACAAATGAATGAATGAAGAAATTCATGAATGGATGAATAGATGAACGAATGCATGAACGAGTGAGCAAACGAGCAAATGCTTCTCCAGGCGTCATGGCCAAGCAGGTGCGTGGCAGTCTCCCCAGATAGGCAAACTCTCCAGGAGGTGCAGCGGCTCCCCAGCCCTGTGGCCAGTGAGGGCAGAGGCCAGACTGGAACCAAGGTTCAGGTTCTCCATCCTAGACGTACTCAGTGGACCCAGGCCAAGTCCTGGGACCTTTCCCAGAGCCCAGCGTCTGTCGTGCCGGTCAGAGATCTGACCAAGGCACCAGCCAGGCAAGTGGGACCCGGGCCGGCCAAAGATCAGGGTTCCCAGTTGCACCCACCTCTGGGTGACCCTAGGCAAAGCTCTTCACACTGGAGCCTCAGTTTCCACATTTGTTCCTTCCAAGGGGCAACAACGCAACCTTATGCCTGGCGCACGGACAGCAGGCGCTAGGAATGTACAGGACAGGCATGGGCAGCCCCTGACTGTCTCTGGGGCTGGGCCCCCTCGGGTCCTCCCTGGACCACAGCCCCTGGACCCAGACCTCACCTGGGCCCCCCTGAGCCCACCCCAGGGAAGGTTACCTGAGTAAGGTTCCCAGGTAAGGGAACCATTTCACTCCCTTCCAGATATATCGGGCAGGGGGTGCATTCCTAGACTTCCATGGGGCCTCAGGACAGAGAAGGCACCCCCCATCCCCTGCAGTGGGAAGACAGCCCCAAGACAGCTCCAGCGCCAAGGTCAGTGCCAGGTGCATGTCAATGTTCCATGAACATTGAGCAGCCACCTTGGAGTAGACAAAGGTGTTTTAAATAGGACACCGAACCACAAAGTATAAAGAAAAAGATGGATAAACTAGACTCTATAAAAAATAAAACTTTTGCTCTTTAGGAGATATCATTTAAGAAAATGAAAAGGCAAGCCACAGGCTGGGAGAAAATATTTACAATATATGTATCCGATGGAGAAGCTGACTCCAGAACACACAAAGACCTTGCACAGCCCAACAAGTTAATAAGACATCCCACTTTCTGTAAATGGGCAAGAGATTTGAACAGACATTTCACAAAAGGAGATTTGCAGTCAGTGCAGACATGGAGAGACGCTGCATCATTAGTCATCAGGAAGCACCCGTTAAACCACAAGGAGATACTGCCGCACACATGGGAGGACAGCAAAAGTAGAAAGACTGACCATACCCAGTGCTAGCGGGGAGGGAAGCGACTGCCACCTCCCGCGTTGCTGCTGGGAGGCCACGTTGGAGAATGGCTTGACCATTTCTCACATGGTTACACACACCCCCGACATCCAGCCATTCCAGGCTCCGGTATAGACTTGAGAGAGGTCGAAACATATGTCCACACACGACCATCCGTAATAACTAAAAACCGCTCACCGTCCAAAAGTCCATCGCCAGGTGAATGGATAAACAAACCGTGGTACATCCATCAGCAAAGAACAGCAGCAAGGTGGACAAATGCCAACGACATTACTCTGATGAAAGAGCTCGGGTCCGAAAGAAGACATACTGCGTGGGCAAGATGCCACACACGTGACCTTCTGGAACATCCCAAACTGGCCAGTGGTGTCAGTGGCTGCAAAGGGGCCCGGGGATGTTCTGGGGGTGATGGAAGTGGTGCACATCTTGGCTGTGGTGTCACACAGGTGTAGTCACCTGTGCAAAGTCATCACATGGCACACTTAAAACAGGTGTATTTGGCTGTACGTAAAGTACACACCAGTGAAATCGAACGCACGGATGGAAGAATACCCTAAACTCAAATGCCTCCTGTTTTCCCCAATTAATTAAAATAGAGAGAGATCGGGTAGCCCCTGGACCCAGTGTGTCTCAATGGGAACTTCTTGCTTAACTGCAGCACGACCTCACAGCAGGGCTTGATATGGATGCTGTCAGCCCACGAGGACGCCTCTGTCACCCTTTCCTACAGCCACCTCCACCCCCAGCCCTGGCTCCACTCCTGCGACGCTGGCATTTCAGGAATGCTGTGTGAATGGGATCATGCCACCGCATCATTCTGGGGCAATTCCGTGCAGGTTGCCGGGCATACCAAGGCGTGTCTCTTTTTAGTGTCACGTAGCATTCTGGGGTACAGACGCTCCACGGTCTGTTTCACCCCCTGAGCGACACAGAGCTGTTTCCAGTTTGGGGTTAATGTATGAATAAAGCTTCTGAGGACACGCGTGTGCAGGCTTTATGTCAGCTCTGGGATAAACACCCAGGAACGCAGCTGCTGGTCGCATGGTAATTGTGTGCTTAGTTTAGTTTTAGTTTTTAAGAAACTGCTAACTATTTTCCAGAGTGGCTGCACCATTTCGTATTCCCGCAAGCCACGTACAAGTGGTCCCGTTTCTCTGCACACTCGCCAGCGCTGGGCATTGCTGTTTTTTGTTGTAGCCATTCAGACAGGCGTGTGTCGTGCTGCGGGTTAATTTGCATTTCCCTGCGACACGCGGCTGGGGCATCGCGTGGCACCTGCTCCTGGGCCAAGCGCCCTTTCACATCCTAGCAGGATTGTTCACGTTTGTATTGGTGAGTTTGAGAGTTTTTCATGTATTCCAGGTATTGGTCCTTCGTGGGATACGTGGTTTGAAAATATTTTCCCCCAATCTGCGTTTGTCTTTTCATCTTCTTCACAAGGTCCTTTGAAAGGCAAAAGTTCTTAATTTTCATGAATTCCAATTTATTAAATTTCCCTTTTATGGACTGTGCTGCTGGTACCAAGTCTAAGACCACTTTTCCAAGCCCTAGATCCCAAAGATTTTGTCCTTTTTTTCCTAAAAGTTTCATAGTGTTATGTTTACATTTACATATACGATCCATTTTGAGTTAATTTCCATATAGGATGTGAGACTTAGGTCAAAGTTGTGTTTTATTTTTTTGTTTTGCCAATGTATGTCAGAGCTTGAATTTCCCAAAGTTTCTCTCCTTCAACCCTTGGTTCCTTCACTTTTGTTATTTATGCAAATATTTACTGCAGACCTCCTGAGTGCCCTGGGCTGGCCCCCAGCCCTGACTTTGCTGCCTTGTCCAGAGGCCCCACATACCCAGACATATCCCAACCCCTCCCAGAAGCAGCCTCGGATCTGGGTGTCCACGGCAGGGCCCACAAAGCGGCCACAAGGCCCAGGGCCACCAGGACAGCAGCAGAGCATGGGCCCACAGTGGTGCAGAGCCAGGGTGCTGGCCCTGTCCCTTGCCACGCCCGGGGCACCATGGGTAGACAGGACCCACATTTGCACCGATAACGTTGACACGAGAATGTCTGGGACGTACGGTCACAGAAGGTAGAAGGGCATGAGGAGCTGTTTAACGGGAGCAGATGTCAGTTTGGGAAGTTGGAAAGTTCTGGAGGTGGATGGTGGTGATGGCTGCACAATGTGAATGTGCTCAATGCCACTCAACTGTGCACCTTAAAATGATTAAAATGGTAAATTTTGTGTTATGTGTATTTTACTACCATAAAACGAAAAAGAAAAAACTTTTACCTACAACAGATTTCAGACCAAAACCTCCGAGTCAGGAAGAGGGTCTTCATTGCACATTTAATAGTTCATGCAGCATCCAGAGCACGGCGGGGAGCGCGGCAGGGCTCACAGGCACAGAGACATCCACAGGCAAAGGCGGGGCAAGGCGGCATGGCCAGGGCTGGACAGGGAGGGGCTCTGACACCTGTGCTACCACCAGGGAGGGTCTGCGCTGTCACCGCAGACCACAGACGTGGTGGATGTGCACAGCCAGAGCAAGGCCGGGGTCACTGCACGATTTCATTGCATTTCAGGGCACCCAGAAGCTACCAGGAAGCTCTCTGCCCGTGCTTACACCCCTTGGGCCTGGCTCACTTTACCACCATGGGACTGAAGGGACATGTCAGTCGATGACGATGTAGGGGGTGGGGCCCAAGGCTTGTCTGACTTAGATCTTGCCCCTTACGGCAGGACAACAGAGGCTGGGGTGGTGAATTGCACGTGTCTCCTGGAACTTCTGTTCAGCGATGGGTGTATCTGCTGGGGAAGGACTCAGAAGGGGACCCTGGTCGTAGGACTTTATCAGAATATGTTTCAGAAACCCCTCCTCCCCCCACCCCCAGCAAGGTCTCCAAGCAACTGCTTCAGGAAGAAATGGAACCCGACATTATTCGAGGTTCCCCCTGACTCCAAGGGAACAGGGACACAGAACAGCTCTCACTAGATCTCAGAAAGTCACAAACTCAAATTGTGTTTCTCTCCCGTCCGGGCATCCGGCCCAGTGAGGGCACCGTGAGTGTCCTCGAGTGTCTGGCCAGCATACCCAACCCACCTGGATGGGCTTTCCAAGAAAGGCAAGGGCAAGCCGCCAAAATCACGCAGCTCTTCCCAGCGTCCCACGAGAGCACCGCCCAGGTGGGTCACTCTTGGCCAAGTGGCACTGTCCCCAAGGCAGGACCCCGACACTCTCCAGCCTAGGCATCCTCTCCATTAGAGCCAGAGACTCTCCCCACCCAGAGTGCCCCACAGGCCCCTGGCAGGCGGGTATGTGGTGGAGGGAGTGGAGGGAGTGGAGCTCGTGGCCCTCTCTCTTCAGCCTCAGCTTCTCGCTCTCAGCCTATGACCCTCTGGGGACAGCCCCATTTGACACGATCTATCCCACCCTTGGACATCCTAGGGTCTGGGGGCCCTGGGGCCAAAGTCCTGGCCAGGTTCTGGGTAGAAGCGCTATGAGGGCCACCAGATGACTGTCGGAGGGATGGGGTCCCCGCGACACACCCACGGAGGCTGACGAGGGAACATGGGAAGGAGCTTGGCCTGCCGTGTCCTTGGTCTTGGGTGCATTTGGCTCACTTGCCCTTTGTTTTTGAAATGCACGAGGTGATTATTTATTCCAAACAGTGAGTCCAGGGAAGGGGCAGCCCCCACATGGCCGGACACCAGCCCCGCCCGGCCGCCGCCTCCCGACACAGACAAGCACACACGGCCACCACACCGGCGCGGTCGGCGGCTCAGACGGTGAGGGAGATGAAGCTGTTGTAGCGCTGGATGTTCCTCTTCAGGATCTCGGAGCAGGGGCCCAGCACGCGCTCAAAGCGGGGCCGGTCCAGTTTGACGCACTTGAGGGGTCCCCGGGCCACGACCGTGGCCGCACGCGGCCGGTTCAGCAGCAGGGCGATCTCCCCTGGAAGGCGGAGAGGGGTGGTCAGGGGCCGGGGCTGAGGCGCCTGAGGCTGCAGCAGGGACCCCCAGAAGCTGCTCTTCTTAAAGAGAAGAACCACACCAGGATGCAGGAAAATGTGAATTTCAAATACATGAAAATAAAATCTTTTTAGGAGAAGTGTGGCCATGAAACATTTGGGATATACTTATACCAACAAGTTACTCATGGTTTATCTGAACTTCAAAGTCTAGGCATCGTCCTGCATTTTGTTGGGCAACCCCACCTATAGCAGGCACTGTGGTGCACTGCCCAGGCCTCACTCAGGAGCCATCCCCCAGCTGTGGGAGTGTCCAGGTGTGCTCAGGCCTCTCTCAGGGCCCACCCCCCAGCTGTGGGAATGTCCAGGTGTGCCCAGGTGTGCTCAGGCCTCTCTGAAGACCCAACTTCCAGCTGTGGAAACGTCCAGGTGTGCCCAGGTGGGATGCCTCTCTCAGGGCCCACCCCCCAGCTGTGGGAATGTCCAGGTGTGCCCAGGTGTGCTCAGGCCTCTCTGAAGACCCAACTTCCAGCTGTGGAAACGTCCAGGTGTGCCCAGGTGGGATCAGGCCTCTCTCGGGTCCCAGTTCCCCCAGCTGTGGGAATGTCCAGGTGTGCCCAGGTGTGCCCAGGTGTGCTCAGGTGTGCCCAGGTCTTCCGTAGGACCCAGCCCACAGCTGCAGGAACACTGGGGACTGATGGCTCCACTGTGTCCCTCTGCAGCAGGAGGGTGCCTCCCCCAAGGTCATGTCCTCTCTGGGGGAGCCCACACACAGGCCTCGTTGTCCCTGGGGACCTAGGCAGGCTCAGGACCTTCCAGTGAGGGGATGAAGCCACACTGGGGCTCACCCGTCGTCCACGGGCCCAACCCAGGAACCCAGGGGAAGCCCTCACATCTCCCCACCTCAGGGCCTTCCTGGCTCCCAGTGAGACGGGGCAGCCACGAGGAGGGGACACTGGACTCACCAAAGTAGTCGGAGGGCCCGAGGCGCCCCACCTCCACGTACTCCTCATCGGGGGATCGGCGCTGCAGGACGGACGCGATGCCCTGTGGGTTGAGGTTGGGGACAGGTGAGAGTCAGTCAGGCTGGGCCATGGGTGGGGGCACAGTGAGGGGGCCACCCAGCAGGGGGCTGCTGCCCCAATTCCCGCCTCCCACCTGGCTCCTTTCCACGAGCCGCTGTTTTTAAACTCAATCCCACTGTTTCTTTGAGGACACCTGCGGTGGATCCGAGCACTGCGGGCACCTTCCTGGGGACCCCATCCAGCCGGGCCCAGTCCCCACTTTCGTTTGGACACACAGAGAGCTCCTCTGAAATAGAAACCCACCAAGCATCCTGCACCTGCTGAGGCCAGTGGGAAAACCCTGGGCACGTTCCCCAAGGGGTCTATGTCTTTGTCGCAGGGCTGCTGGCTTCAGGCTGACCTTGGATTGACTCTCAAGGACTGGGAGCGCGTCCAGCCGCGCCGGGCGCTCCCCGGGGACAGGGAGGAGTGTTGTCTCAGGGTCACACACCCGCTAGGCTCCTTCCTGACCCCCCAAACAGGGGAGCAGGCAGGGGCTCTGCGGATTTTCCCAGCTCAATGATTAAACCAGGGCTGTGGGCAGAATACCACAGGGCTGCTGCCATGGAACTCGTTACACATTAAAGATTCAGCCTTCGGACAGCGGGACCCAGAGTCGGGGGCAGACTGGGCGGCCGAATGTCCCCCACACTCGACCTGCCTTGCGAGCAGCCTGGGCGTTGAAAGCTGCAGCCTGCTACGGAGAGAGCTTGGGCTGTGTCGCGGGAGGTCTGGCCCGGACCTTGCCTGGGCTGTGGTGTGACACTGGGCAAGGCCTCGACCCCATCTGAGCTGTTTCTGCACCTGTAACCCAGGCATCGTCCTAACTACACCTCGGGGCTGTCCGGAGGATTAAAAGAGAGGCTTCCGTAAGCCACCCAGTGCACACCGCCAGCAGGCCTCGGTAAACATCACCTGGCTGAGCCCTGCACACGCTGGCCTCAAAGCCTCCCAGGTTAACTCAGCCTCGCGCCTCCCTCTGACCAGTCCCGAGTCCCCACAGGCAGAGCCCTTCATTGACCGCAGAGGCGCACACGCGTCAGGAGTGTCTGGGAGACTGAGGCACCCGCAGCCTGGCCCTCCAGGGTCCTGGTGTGGTTCAGGTACCCAGGGCCCACTTGCCCCCAGCCCCGGGTGGCCTGCAGCCCGGCGCCCTCTCAGAGCGACCCACTCGGCATGAGCGAGCGCGTCATTCCAAGGTGGGCTCGGTTCACCCGGGCTCACCCAGCCTCATAAAACGCTGTGCCAGTTAATGAGTAACCCCCACCTCTCCACAGTCTGGGAGACTTAGGTCAGGACACCCTGCTGTGCCCGCCGTGCCTGGAATCTCCAGGCACCAACTGGCAGCCCCCCTCAGCTGGGTCCCCCTCCCCGGCCCCCTGATCCGGCCACGGGGCCACTCGGCTCCCGTGTTTATGCATCCAGCTGATGGATGGAGCGGGTCGTGTAAACACACTGCTCCACCGAGCACTGCAGCCGGGCAGGGGGGTAAACGGAGTGGACCCTAAGGGGCGCCAACAAACCCTGCCCAGCCCAGAGTCCCAGGGACAGTGCAGACGCCAGACAGAGGGGGACGGAGCAGCTCCCAGCTGTCCTCCCTGCCCGGGGTCCTGGGCGAAGCTCTGGGCACCATGTGGAAGCTCCCGGCCTGGCCGGCTCCTCCCAGAGGCCGGAGCTCTGGCTCCCCAGTCTTCAAAGTTTCTGCCGCCCTGAGAATTCAGTGTCACAAGACTGTGCGGTGCTCAGAGGGGTCTGGAGCTGCCCAGGCCCCCACACACGAGAACGGCTATGAGAGGCCTGATCTGTCTTGGCAGCCCATTGCCTTGACCCAACGTAACATTTATATCTTTCTATTTATTACACGTACACTTTGTGTGCCTTTCACATTCATTTTAACAACTTTGTTTTAAAATTGGGGCCATTTCCCTCTTTCGGAGTCTGGGGGATGGACCTGAAATCTTCGGGTTCACGGAATTACTCGGCGAAACTCGGGCTGGGGTCAATGTTCAGATGCTTTTGACCCCAAACAGCAGAAACCCAACTTGAGCTTGTTGAGTCTAACGGGGTGATTGCCCCACAGAGCCGGGGCTTTGGCTGGTTCCGCGGCTCAGAGACGTGTCAGGAGCCCAGACTTGCTCTTGTCCCCTGCTCTGGGACCCGCCGGGTGCCTCGCAGTGGCGCAGAGGCTGCCATGGTCCCAGGAGCCACCACATGCCACCCTCATGCCATCAGCAGGAAAAAGAGAACCCAGGTCTTCCTCCAGCAAGTCTCCTCATCAATGGGAAACCTTTCCAGAAGCTTCCAGAAACTTCGCTTCCATCATTGGCCAGAGCGGGTCTCACCTTCACCCTGACCAATTGTTGGGGGGATGGGAGGCCCAACGGGACTAGATTCACCTGCTCTGGGACGGGGCCAGGGCCGGGGATTCTGCAGGGAGGGAAGAGGCAGGCAGGGGCCACCCACCACGGGCACCGCTGCCATCTGCCCAGCTGTCACCATTCACCATTTATTGCAGTGTCTTGGTGCAAAGGCACCTTTTCCACCCTCGATCATCTCTGGACTCAGGAGGCCTCATAGCTGTGGTCGGCAGCACTTCCTCGTGGCCACCTCGCAGCTGCTGGCATGGATGAGATGACGTTGCCACACGGATCGACTGTTTTACAACGTGAGCATCTTTGGGCCAGACCCCCTCCCTGACACCCCAGACAGCATCTTTGGGCCAGACCCCGTCCCTGACACCCCAGACAGATCCTGCGCCCAGGCCTTCACATGCCCCATTCAGGGCATCTGCGATTTGTCCATTCACAGGTGGAAGCCCAGAGAGGTTAAGCAACTTGGCCCAGGCCACACAGAGGCAGAATTGTGTGGAGAGGAAAGCTTCGGCGATTTGGCAGAGGATAGAGCCTCGAGCCCGCTGGGCAGTGTGGGCTTACTACAAGGCTGGCCCGTGCCCCTGGGTGCCTCGTTCTCGGGCAGCCCGGCGGTCAGCTTTGTTCATCTGCCGGTCCCTGCAGCCCCCCGGCCCTCCAGAGACCCCTCTCTGGAATACACCTGCCCTGAACTCGGGCTACGGGGCAGCACAGCCCCTTCCACGCCTTGTCTCCAGGCTCTGAACTCCCCACGACGGCGTTTGCTGCGGGGTGCTCAGTTCCTGGTGCCCCGAGCACCCAGGCACCACCCCCCTACCTATAACCCTGTGGCCTTTGCAAGGACCCCCAGCAAGGCTCTCACGAGACCACCACTCAGGGAGGCCGTCCACAAAGATTGTCTGACACCCCCTGCTCCACGAAAGGGCCGAGCATTGCCCAAGGGTTCTATCCGAGACTCCAAGAGTCCCAGCACATCAACCGCCCGTGTCTGCGGCTAAGTTCATCTTTTCTCCAAACGCACCCCGTGTAGCCGTCCTGAACTCAGACCACTGTGCTTTGGGGATGGGGGCCCAGCATCCGCCCCCAGGGCTGGGACAGCCTCGGTCATGGAAGACAGGCTACTCGACCAGCTCCCACGACACTTGAAGGGTGTTGTGCAAAACCACCAAATTCATGTGCACCAAATGTGGCCACTCAGCCGCCCCTGCCCTGCCAGCAGCAGGCCCCTCTGCGGCGCCCGCGCCTCCACCTGACCTGGCCATGGAGGGCCGGGAGCAGCCTCTGCACCCCCACCCAGCTGCTGCAGCTTCCCAGTTTCCAGCCAGAGTCCACACGGAGCAGGGGTGGAGCACACTCTCCTCGGCTGGCAGGTGGGCGTGGGGTGCCCTCCACTGCCCTCCCATCTCCACCTGGGATGAGCAGCCTGGGGGGCTCAAATCCTGGCTCTACCGCTTCTCTCAGGCCATCAATTGCCCTCCCCAAGCCTCAGTTTCCTCCTCTGTAAACTGGGATAACTAGAGACCCTCCCAAGCAAGTGTGACGATGAAATGAACAGTCACATGCCAAGACCCAATAAACAGAAACCACAGGGACAGCCAGTGGCCGTCACCAACTCCTCCCTTCCCTGTGGTGGACCAGGGGCTGCCCTGCGAGGGACGTCCTCCAGGCCTCCCTGCAGGTGATGGAGTCACGTGGCCACGTTCCCTCACCCTGCCCCATCCCAGCCACGGGAACCCCGAGTGCCGAAAGTCCAGCCTCAACCATGCAGAGCCACAAAACAAAAGGGGCCACGGACTCACCCCCAGGACATCCACCAACTGTCACTTCACAAGAAGGAAGGACACATGTCTGTTCTTTCCACTGCATTGTTTTGGGGTCTTCTTGTTACAGCAGCCTGCTCTCTCACCCTGACTGATACACCCCCAGAGCACTGGAGGTGATGGCAGTGACGGTCCCCTCCTGTGACTGCCCACCCACAACCACCTGTGTGCGATGTGCGTCTGGGAGCAGAGGGAGCAGGGGAAGGAACAGGGCCGACATGTCAGAGGGTGACCTGCCGCCAGCAGGGCGGAGTGCTCCCAGGACACGGGCCGCTGCCACGACCACCGCGTGCTCAGTTCCCTAGGCTGCCCAACGTGAGACAGGCCAGTGCCTCCATGCCATAGAAAGCTCCTGGAAACAACACTGTCCCGTCCAGGCCCTGCTTCCCAGACTGCCGAGAAAGCAGCACAGACATCTCAGGAGGATTGTGAGTCTGGAGTTTTTGGGCTGGAAAAACATACTTGCCAAAACTCTAGGTCATATTCCCCAAATTTCCCACTTACTGCCTCTAACCCGACGCTAAAAATAACCCAGGTCACATGCCCACAGGGAGCGGCACCACAGGACGTCACCCTGGTTCTCTGCAACGGTGATTACCCAGGACCTGTGTCCTCGTCACTATTTTGTTTTTTTAAATTTTTTTGCAAAATCAAAAACAAATTCAACTTTCTGATTTTCCACAGTGGGCAGGTGTGGCTTTGCTAAGAAGGAAGCCACCGAGGTCTCAGTGTGACCCACTCACGGAAGGGGGCTCCCATCCCTCGGGGCAGCCCCACTCGCTGGCGGGAAGCCT